AATGATATCCTTTTGATCACAACTTGGAATACCTTAAATACATGGTGCACAGTGAGTTTTCATGTGACGATATGATACACGAAAAGTTATTTTCTGTGTCGATACTAGACTGGGGTCCTGTCTACTAAAACTAGTATATCGCGCTAAGCTTGCGTCGCGTACAAACACTGGAACCAGTTTATATCGATACACGACGATACACAAAAGTCTTGCTAAACTTACTACTCGTTTAATGACTCCCACTGTTTTGTGCAGTTACATATGGCAGATGTGTTGAAGTAAGCGTTTAAAGTTAACTCACAAACATAGCGGCTTCGAACATGTGTCTTCTGCAACTTTTACCTTCAGAGCCTGCTCTGAAATATCGAGTTTCCACGCGATTTGACCTAAAAATGGGTATCGCGATATGTATAGTATCGTGAACTAATATGTATCGTGATAGGTATCGTATAGTGACCTTGCTGTATCGTTTGACCCCGATATTGTTGGTACTACTGTATATATTTCTGGCCACAAAACCGAGTGGTGTCCACCTTGCATATCCAAACCACGATTATGACTAATGCCTGACAGCGAGTTGACAACAGATGATGGGTTAACATACATGGGTTCCATACAAAATGTACCTGGAACAAAATACCTTTTTTGTGTATTTCTGTTGTAACACGCGCCGTGTTTTTGCATTCCAACACAATGACCGTGACCTTTTCCTGTCAAGGGCAATAATTCATATAAAGAGTGTAGAGTGGTTTCCCTTTGACTACGAGTACACAAGCTCCTTCCCAGCGCGTGACACCTTCGATGTCGCTGTGAGGAGCTTGACGAGTACAACGTTTGGAATATATAGCGTCTAATGTACTTTGCCGATTGTGTATAACTGGATGTCATGCTGTTTGAAAATCATTTAGTCCATGAATGAATATTCCATTATGAATGATACAAAAACAAAACAAAAAAACGATGGAAGTTTATTGTAAAAAAACAATATAAAAAATACTCAAGATATATAAGGTCGGTTTGCAATCTAAGTAGGTTGATTCCCATAACATTTCTTCCCAAATTATCGATTGCATAAACCACGTCGCAGTGACGGGACATCCTGTACTTTATGTGTGTATGTTTCATATAATGCCATATAATGCACGTATTCCTTGTACTGGTAGCACTTGCCTAATGTGTATGTGAAGTTTTATATAAATATTAAACAGATTATGACTACTGCTCCGGAAAAAAAACCAAACTTCATTTCCGAATGAAATCGACTTAAATTGTTGCCTTGGAAACGTAGAACAAAATCTGAATGGCAAAATACATTTTCATCACATTACTTGTGTATATACTAAGTTTGACGAGTTGCCCTGTTTAAAGAATAAACGCCCATGAAGTGACTCAACACTGACGCAATATTGAAAGAAATATTTGATACAAAACAACGCATGTCATATTTATTAGGATAGATAGAGAGTAAAAGAAATATTAGAGTGTCGCACGTCGCATCTTTTACATAGAAGAAATACGTACATACTCCATACACATAATAGTGATTTTCATATGATAAGGCTTCAGTATATTTAAATAATATGACATATAAATAATATAAAAATATAATATAGATAATAATACTACAAACCTAATTCAGGAATGTTTTTTTCCAAGAAGTGGCGTTAAGCTCACAACAATCGTCTTGACTGGGCGCCGCTATTTTGTTCGAAGCAAATTCAAGTGATATGAGATGTGGACTCTCACTGGTCAATCGAAGGGACATAAGTCGTAATAGCCACTGGTGGCTCTACGTTCGAGCCCAGAAATTCCAGTCTATTTTCGCAAGGCTGTAGTTGACTGAATGGAGTGTAATAATGCTTATAAAGTGAAAAGATTTATAAGAAGCTATTCCAGCAATTAGGAATATTACTTATAGTACAAAAATTGCAAAATGCGCTTAGAAATAAAGAAATATCCATTTTGTTGGCGATACACATCACCACTGAGTTTTGATCACGTGGATAATCCCCGACTTTGTTTGTTTGTTGTTTAACGCCGCACTCAGCAATATTCCAGCTATGTGACGGCGGTCTGTAAAAAATCGAAATTTTTGTGGCAGACAATTTCATTTTTTACAACAGTCTCATTCATACACTTTCACGCATTTTCTGAGTCAGTTTCTTTCTTCGATAAAGAAGGTCGGTGCCTAAGGCCTTGTGCATTACATTACATAATCTCTGCTAACCAATTTTACGTGCAATCATGTCGACGTCTAATCTCTGTGGTCTGATAAATATGTGATAACATTATTTTGAATATTTGTTTGAGGAAAGCGACACGTATCATGTAAATGAACTCTTCGTTTTCAACTTTCCGTGTAAATCACCTCCAGTCAAATTGGGCCATTCTTTCTGCACCAACATATTTCTCAAGAACATCCGTGCACAAGAAATAATATTAATTTGTGATACAATAATAACTGATTTCCAGAATCTATGGCATTTAGCCATGGACCCTTAGTACAGTATACATTTTTTTCACGTTGGACAAGACTTGATGAATATAATAGGATTTATCATATAATGGGTGGGTTTCTCGGCAGGAAACTATGTCCACTCGGGTCATATGCTGATAAAGATGCAAGTAGGGACTACTTTCACTGTTTATAAACGATTATGCAAGCCAACTTTATGTCATAAAAAGTTTCTTTGAGAGGCATTTAGAAGTTGGAGTACCAAGTAAGGACAAGATATAATATGGATGAACAACTTCCTTATTACGATTAGGAGCGACGTTTCGGTGTAGGTTCTAACACAATCATCAAGCTTAGTATTTCATAATAAGTTGATATCCTACAACTCGGAATGACAATCCAAATGAAGCAAACTTTTTTTCATATGAAAGCTTATGTACTTTTTCAATTTCGCAACATCTATGATAGCCTGAAACCCACATTGCTACTTGTAGGTATATTTACATGGGTATCTGTGATAATGGACATAGAACGACCTTTCGCGAACTTTGACCGACAAGTAGTCGACATTAGCCATTCAGAAAGCAGCTTTCTAATGTTTCTCATTGAAGCAGAGAGTCTATATAGAGACCTCTTTGTATTGTATCCGTGCATTGAATCATATTTTCTAGTGGATAAACTACGAAAATAAATGGATGCTGCCACAATTTATAAAGTGTGACAAAATAAATTCCAAAGCTTGGAGACGAGGTTTCGCGGAAATATATCACAAATATCTACAAGTAGCGAACGTCGAAACTGTCGAAATGCAGAAGGATCACACAACAAGTAGGTAAAGTTTAATAACGAGTTTATTAATTAATCACTGAACTGAAAAATCTTGTACAGTGTCTCGAGATCGCGGGACACGATACTAGCTGTCAACTGTACTGGAAACATCAGTCGCTCGGCATTGTCTGTCACAACGTGGCTCTGGAATCCGGTACTTGTCCGTTTCCCTCCCACAATTGATGTATCTGAACTGTTAAAATAATGAAATTGTACAATAAACTTTGAAACTTGAGGACGCCACATCTCCTTGAGCTGTCGAAATGCGATCTAAGTAATTAAAGCATGGGATTAAATCATCATATGGGATCGATTCTAGAACGATCCCTGTAGACAATGGAAGGTAAAAACCCTTGACTGTGACGTCGGAATGACCTTTGACCCCCCGGATAGAAAAATCTGTAAACTGTATTATGTTATAGGGACAATAAATCACATGCGACTTGTGATAACTGTAACTTGTATACTTGAATCATTACAATCTTGGAATATTTTGGTGAGGTAACAAATCTAAATTGATTAAGCTTTTATCCATTTTTGAACTGAGATTTTTGTTTACCAACAGGCCTGATACGTGGGAGTTCAACGTTCACATTTCAACTTCGGGCTCTGTAAGATATAATTGCAGCATGGGAAAGCATGAATTATAGTAATTAGAAGTACTGACAATGTAACCATCCGATTCTCATTGTAATTATCTCTTAAATAACGACTGCTTGGCCGCAGTGACTGCTGCGTCTTTGTGCGGGAGCTCGACCTCCTTCGAGGTTTTGTTTGTTTTTCATTTTTCTGCACTGACATAGTGAACAAATCCTTAACAAATCAAGCACCATTTAATCTACCCGATCCCAATTTTGACCAACTCTTAAAATAGCAATAGGTTAGTTGAAGCGACAATTTGGCATGGTCCGCATGCGAAGCCATCTCTTGATTTCAGTTTTCATAACAAGGAATGCAGAAAACATGAATGTACACGACTTGTAACTTGTATACTTGAATCATTACGATCTTGGAATATTTTGGTGAGGTAACAAAACTAAATTAATTAAGCTTTTATCCATTTTTGAACTGATGTCTTCCATCAATAATAGCTGTTCAGATTCTGACAGCAAGATTTTTGTTTTCCAACAGGCCTGATACGTGGGAGATCAACGTTCACATTTCAACCTCGGGCTCTGTAAGAGATAACTGCAGCATGGGAAAGAATGAATTATAGTAATAAGGAGTACCGACAATGTAACCATCCGATCCTCATTGTAATGATCTCTTAAATAACGACTGCTTGGCCCAAGCGACTGCTTGGCGTGGAGTCTTTGTGCGGGAGCTCGACCTCCTTCGAGGTTTTGTTTGTTTTCATTTTTCTGCACTGACATAGTGAACAAATCCTTAAAAAATCAAGCACCATTTCATCTACCTGATCCCCATTTTGATCAACTCTTAAAATAGCAATAGGTTAGATGAAGCGACAATTTGGCATGGACCGCATGCGAAGCCATCTCTTGATTTCAGTTTTCATAACAAGGAATGCAGAAAACATGAATGTACACGACACGTTCTTCAAGCAACAGCGTTTATCACATACATTTTAAGCAGAATATTATATGTATTTTAATTCATGTATGAAACAAAATGTATGTTATCAAAAATAGTCCAAAATAGTCCAAATGGTTAGTCCAAAAGGTCCTAAAACTAGTAGTTCACACAACATTAGCACAGCAAACAACTCCAAAGTCTATCTCTCTGTGAAGAAACTCTGGAAAATGTATTTCACACAGGACACAAGGACGGCCGAGCATGACTGGGGCTGCTTGGATTCTTCACCAAGATCTATCTCCACAACTTGAGGGCGGGCTCTGAGGGCAGGGACGGGGAGGGAGGTCTGGGGTTCGGGCTGGGATGAGAGGGGGTTGACGGTGATCGTGAAGACACTGGGGCGCTTACAGAGAGGAAATAGATGTCCTTAAATCATTGAAATCAGTATCAATCCACAGTTAAGCGTGTATGAAAAAACCATGAAAAGGTCGACCATTTTGTACCTACTTTATCTGGATATTTAAACAAATAGCAAGTGAGGATATACTGCCTACCGACTAACATAGAGAAATGGAACAAAACCATTTCTGTAATCACAGAAAATCTGTATTTGTATGATTCCGACAGTATGAGAGTCAGGGCACGATTTAGGAATTAGATAAAGCTTGCACCTGGTGCAAGTTGACATCCCAACCATTTTTCACTAGACTAAACCGATTGCACTCATATTGGAAACTATTACATAATAAAGAAAATATCATCTCAAATCCCAGAATGAAATCAGTGTCATTAATATTTTGACATTTTCAGTTCATTGACAAGATCACTTTGAATGGAATCACTTATACATCCCACATATTTGTTTGCATTCTTGTTCTTATCATAAGACTGACCTGCTAAGGTTCATGACGAAAAGCCAAAAGGACAATGTCATATTACACAAAACACTGGGAATGTGATGTAGTATGATACAAAAAGTGTATTGAGTTCAAAGATGTAAGTGTAGAAAGCTTTTTTAGTAAGTCAGTAACAAATTTGTAAAATTTGTACATGCACTGGGTGCAAGTATAGATAAATAATAGGCTACATTTTTCCATATCAGAGGGCACCTGTGCCTTTATTTTAGTTAAATCGAGCCCTGGTCATGAGCATGTGTTTTTCAATCACTAACAAATAGTGGTGATACAAGTTGTTTGTAAAAAGGTCATGTATAGGGAAACGGAAGTAGTTTTATCATATGTATTACAGAATAAGGGAGTGGTAAAAAAATGCAAGTCAACTTTCTTATGTTGTATGTTAGAAATGAGTTCTGATTATTAAAAGCTTCGTGACTATATAATATGTATAGTTGTCCTGATAATGTTTAACACAGATGACATGTTTCGAACTAATGTAAGTTGCAAAGGTTCTCGAATTTGTTTTTTCTGATACTAATAGGACACATTCAAACAACTTGAACCCAATGATGACCTACAGGATCAGGGACAGGAAGAGTCGTTTGGGAGACGGGGGCCTGGTAGTTCCTAAACCTGTAGAGATCGTCCTGGGCTATAATGGAATAAATAAAATAAAAAACAACATCCATCCTCATGGTATAGACTATAATATAGATGGGTTGTTTTTATAGAAACATAATTCCTGTGTGAGTTTAGGAGCCTCAGCAAATTATTCAAACGTTGCAGGGTTCTGTGCCAGGAAGTTAGGTTGAGGTAAAATGGTCACTGGACATTTTGGGACAAGATCGAGAGACCTATACTTTTCAAGTCCCTCCCCTTGACACCACATATGAAAACCTACACAAATCATGTTTTACTGACTGCATCCCATTACCACGGCAAGAAAAGGGGAAACACAGATCTATTGTTACTTTGATCATATATCATGATACTTGACAATGATTAATATGATTTTACCATAGGAATTGAATTGGTACTATTCATATTAATAACATCCATACACATTCACTTCACAAAAGATCAATTGTAAAATACAAAGTACATAGACATATACCAGGGACCGGCGAAGTACATGATATGTCCCATCTGTAAATGAGTATGTCTGTCATTCTCTTTCACTTTTATTGTTACCAAATGTTTAGGACAGGATTCAAGTTGGGAATGCAATCAATGTCAAAAGGTATCACTCTCTAAGCTTTGAAATCAAGATAAAAAAACAAAATTAAGTTAACACTGAGACCACTACTAGATACCTTGATGATAAACCAAAGCAACAGTGGCATACATCGTGAAGAACGTGCGATACGTGCGGGATAATGAGCAAAATGCAAACACAGACGTGGAAACAAAGTGCAGCAGCAACAATCAAAATGGCGTCGTTTGTGAATAACGGAAGTAGCAACGGTCTCCATGGAGATCCATCAGCGATCGCCGCGTCTCGTTGCTTTCCGTAGCTTGCATGTCCCGGAATAACTGCCACAAATGATATCCTATTGATCACAAATTGGAATACCTTAAATACATGGTGCACAGAAAGTTTTCATGTGACGATATGATACACGAAAAGTTATTTTCTGTGTCGATACTAGACTGGGGTCCTGTCTACTAAAACTAGTATATCGCGCTAAGCTTGCGTCGCGTACCAACACTGGAACCAGTTTATATTGATACACGACGATAAACTTACTCCTCGTTTAATGACTCCCACTGTTTTGTGCAGTTACATATGGCAGATGTGTTGAAGTAAGCGTTTAAAGTTAACTCACAAACAGTGCGGCTTCGAACATGTGTCTGCTGCAACTTTTACCTTTAGAGCCTGCTCTGAAATATCGAGTTTCCACGCGATTTTGACCTAAATATGTGTATCGCGATACGTATCGTATCGTGACCTAATATGTATCGTGATACGTATCGTATAGTGACCTGGTGTATCGTTTGACCCCGATATTGTTGGTTCTACTGTATATATATTTCTGGCCACTAACCGAGTGGTGTCCACCTTGCATGTCCAAACCACGATTATGACTAATGCCTGACAGTGAGTTGACAACAGATGATGGGTTAACAATCATTCCATACAAAATGTACCTGGAACAAAATACCTTTTTTGTGTATTTCTGTTGTAACACGCGCCGTGTTTTTGCATTCCAACACAATGACCGTGACCTTTTCCTGTCAAGGGCAATAATTCATATAGAGTGTGTAGAGTGGTTTTCCCTTTGACTTACACAAGCTCCTTCCCAGCGCGTGACACATTCGATGTCGCTGTGAGGAGCTTGACGAGTTCAACGTTTGGAATATAGAGCGTCTAATGGAGCGAGTACTTTGCCGATGGTGTATAACTGGATGTCATGCTGTTTGAAAATCATTTAGTCCATGAATGAATATTCCATTATGAATGATACAAAAAACAAAACAAAAAAACGATGGAAGTTTATTGTAAAAAAATAAAATAAAAATACTCAAGATATATAAGGTCGGTTTGCAATCTAAGTAGGTTGATTCCCATAACATTTCTTCCCAAATTATCGATTGCATAAACCACGTCGCAGTTACGGAACATCCTGTACTTTATGTGTGTATGTTTCATATAATGCCATATAATGCACGTATTGTCCTGGTAGATCGTGTATCTACACTGTTAAGCACTTGCCTAATGTGTATGTGAAGTTTTATATAAATATTAAACAGATGACTACTGCTTCGGAAAGAATCAAAACTTCATTTCCGAACGAAATCGACTTAAATTGTTGCCTTGGAAACGTAGAACAAAATCTGAATAGCAAAATACATTTTCATCACAGTACTTGTGTATTTACTAAGTTTGACGAGTTGCCTTGTTTAAAGAATAAACGCCCATGAACTGACTCAACATTGAAGCAATATTCAAAGAAATATTTGATACAAAACAATGTCATATTTATTAGGAGAGATAGAGAGTAAAAGAAATATTAGAGTGTGTCACGTCGCATCTTTTACAAAGAAATACGTACATACTGTATACACATAATAGTGATTTCCATATGATAAGGCTTCAGTATATTTAAATAATATGACATATAAATAATATAAAAATATAATATAGATAATAATACTACAAACCTAATTCAGGAATGTTTTTCCAAGATGTGGCGTTAAGCTCACAACAATCGTCTTGACTGGGCGCCGCTATTTTGTTCGAAGCAAATTCAAGTGATATGAGATGTGGACTCTCATTGGTCAATCGAAGGGACGGACATAAGTCGTAATAGCCACTGGTGGCTCTACGTTCGAGCCCAGAAATTCCAGTCTATTTTCGCAAGGCTGGAGAGTTTAGTGAATGGAGTGTAATAATGCTTATAAAGTGAAAAGATTTATAAGAAGCTATTCCAGCGATTAGGAATATTACTCATATTACAAAAATTGCAAAATGCGCTTAGAAATAAAGAAATATCCATTTTGTTGGCGATATACATCACCATTGAGTTTTGATCACGTGGTTAATCCCCGACTTTGTTTGTTTGTTGTTTAACGCCGCACTCAGCAATATTTCAGCTTTGTGACGGCGGTCTGTTAAAAATCGAGTTTTTTGTGGCAGACAATTTCTTTTTATACAAGTCTGATTCATACACTTTCACGCATTTTCTGAGTCAGTTTCTTTTCTTCGATAAAGAAGGTCGGTGCCTAAGGCCTTGTGCATTACATTACATAATCTCTGCTAACCAATTTTACGTGCAATCATGTCGACGTCTAATCTCTGTGGTCTGATAAATATGTGATAACACTATTTTGAATATTTGTTTGAGGAAAGAGACACGTATCATGTAAGTGAACTCTTCGTTTTCAACTTTCCGTGTCAAATTGGGCCATTCTTTCTGTACCAACATATTTCTCAAGAACATCCGTGCACAAGAAATAATATTAATTTGTGATACAATAATAACTGATTTCCAGAACCTATGGCATTTAGCCATGGACCCTTAGTACAGTATGCTGCCACAATTTATAAAGTGTGACAAAATAAATTCCAGAGCTTAGAGACGAGGTTTCGCGAAAATATATCACAAATATCTACAAGTAGCGAACGTCGAAACTGTCGAATGCAGAAGGATCACACAAGGAGGTTTAAGTTCAATAACGCATTTATTAATTAATCACTGAACTGAAAAGTTTGTACAAAGTCTCGAGATCGCGGGACACGATACTAGCTGTCAACTGTACTGGAAACATCAGTCGCTCGGCATTGTCTGTCACAACGTGGCTCTGGAACCCGGTACTTGTCCGTATCCCTCCCACGATTGATATATCTGAACTGTTAAAATAATGAAATTGTACAATAAACTTTGAAACTTGAGGACGCCACATCTCCTAGAGCTGTCGAAATGCGATCTGAGTAATCAAAGCATGGGATTAAATCATCATATGGGATCGATTCTAGAACGATCCCTGTAGACATTGGAAGGTAAAAGCCCTTGAATGTGACGTCGGAATGACCTTTGATCCCCCGGATAGAAAAATCTGTAAACTGTATTATGTTATAGGGACAATAAATCACATGCGACTTGTGATAACTGTAACTTGTATACTTGAATCATAACAATCTTGGAATATTTTGGTGAGGTAACAAAACTAAATTAATTAAGCTTTTATCCATTTTTGAACTGATGTCTTCCATCAATAATAACTGTTCAGATTCTGACAGCAAGATTTTTGTTTACCAACAGGCCTGATACGCGGGAGTTCAACGTTCACATTTCAACCTCGGGCTCTGTAAGAGATAATTGCAGCATGGGAAAGAATGAATTATAGTAATTAGGAGTACCGACAATGTAACCATCCGATCCTCATTGTAATTATCTCTTAAATAACGACTGCTTGGCTGCAGTGACTGCTTGGCGTGGAGTCTTTGTGCGGGAGCTCGACCTCCTTCGAGGTTTTGTTTGTTTTCATTTTTCTGCACTGACATAGTGAACAAATCCTTAACAAATCAAGCACCATTTCATCTACCCGATCCCCATTTGGATCAACTCTTAAAATAGCAATAGGTTAGTTGAAGCGACAATTCGGCATGGACCGCATGCGAAGCCATCTCTTGATTTCAGTTTTCATAACAAGGAATGCAGAAAACATGAATGTACACGACACGTTCTTCAAGCAACAGCGTTTATCACATACATTTTAAGCAGAATATTATATAAATTTTAATTCATGTATGAAACAAAATGTATGGTATCAAAAATAGTCAAAAATAGTCCAAATGGTTAGTCCAAAAGGTCCTAAAACTAGTAGTTCACACAACATTAGCACAGCAAACAACTCCAAAGTCTATCTCTCCGTGAAGAAACTCTGGAAAATGTATTTTACACAGGACACAAGGACGGCCGAGCATGACTGGGGCTGCTTGGATTCTTCACCAAGATCTATCTCCACAACTTGAGGGCGGGTTCTGAGGGCAGGGACGGGGAGGGAGGTCTGGGGTTCGGGCTGGGATGAGAGGGGGTTGACGGTGATCGTGAAGACACTGGGGCGCTTACAGAGAGGAAATAGATGTCCTTAAATCATTGAAATCAGTTTCAATCCACAGTTAAGCGTGTATGAAAAAAACATGAAAAGGTCGACAATTTTGTATCTTATCTGGATATTTAAACAAATAGCAAGTGAGGATATACCGCCTACCGACTAACATAGAGAAATGGAACAAAACCATTTCCGTAATCACAGAAAATCTGTATTTGTACGATTCCGACAGTATCATGAGAGTCAGGGCACGATTTAGGAATTAGATAAAGCTTGCACCTGGTGCAAGTTGACATCCCAACCATTTTTCACTAGACTAAACCGATTGCACTCATATTGGAAACTATTACATAATAAAGAAAATATCATCTCAAATCCCAGAATGAAATCAGTGTCATTAATATTTTGACATTTTCAGTTCATTGACAAGATCACTTTGAATGGAATCACTTATACATCCCACATATTTGTTTGCATTCTTGTTCTTATCATAAGACTGACCTGCTAAGGTTCATGACGAAAAGCCAAAAGGACAATGTCAAATTACTCAAAACACTGGGAATGTGATGTAGTATGGTACAAAAAGTGTATTGAGTTCAAAGATGTAAGTGTAGAAAGCTTTTTTAGTAAGTCAGTAACAAATTTGTAAAATTTGTACATGCACTGGGTGCAAGTATAGATAAATAATAGGCTACATTTTTCCATATCAGAGGGCACCTGTGCCTTTATTTTAGTTAAATCGAGCCCTGGTCATGAGCATGTGTTTTTCAATCACTAACAAATAGTGGTGATACAAGTTGTTTGTAAAAAGGTCATGTATAGGGAAACGGAAGTAGTTTTATCATATGTATTACAGAATAAGGGAGTGGTAGAAAAATGCAAGTCAACTTTCTTATGTTGTATGTT